ACTTCATGTGACACGAATTTCGAATTTATTTTCACATATAGAAAATCAATTGATGTGACATGTCCTGTGACTAATATGTATTTTACTAGGACCGGGAAACTCTATTGAATGTGACCGTCAACACTATGATTCGAAAGTACTTTTAAAAAAAACGTGACCGCCCTCACCATAGATTCGCATTGATGGAAAATGGAAAAGGTCGCCGCTTTTATATCATTCGAAGAAAAAAAGGTTATCAGTTAACCAATAATAAAATTAAAAAATTTAAAATGAAAAATTATAATAAAAAATAATACCCTAACTTTCAAGAATTTGTCAATGCTAAAAAATTTATTTGTAAATGTGGTCAAATTATTTCACCTGGAGTCAATTATCAAGTGTTTGGACAAAGCTATTACGTTTTATGAAAAATGTGGCAAGGACATTCATGGGTAGAAAAGTCAGCAGGATTTTTAGATCATTTATCATATATATCTACTAAGGCCTATCTTCCTGTATCACAACGGTATCTTTCATGTGAAAATTTGACAGGAGGAGGCATTACAATTCATATTACACCACGAGAAGTAGTTTATTTTTTGGGAATACGTTCTTATTCTAATTATTAATCCTTGTTTGATTGCAGTAGATGATGAACCATTTTTAATTTATAATCATTTTAGTCAATCAAGTATATACACAAAACTTTCTTTTAAATATTTTTAATCAATAAAAATAATTTCATATGTCCTCAGCTATTTTGATTCGTTCGCATTATTTATAATTTTAAAATATGTTTTGAAAATCGATTCGCATAATGATAATTATAAAAAACTAATATTGATTTGTCATTTAATTTGGCGGTCACATAATACTATTTTACTATTTACTATATATATACGTACATGCCTCGAAGATCATTACTAAATTTAGAGTAACTTGCAAAAATGGTATATACGACAAATTATACTTATTCATATTCATAGATAAAGGCAATTTTAACGACTATGTGTCAATAAATGTTTGATTATTTTATACTGTTATCACAGATATCCAACATTAATAAAAATTAAAGTTTTTTGAACGAAGTGTTTTTGCTGTATGGCACAGCAAAAGATATTTTTAGACCGCACTCGCCACATTTAATTATGTGCTGAAATTTTTTATTGGAAATATGATAATAATAAAAATGGGAAATATTTAATAAAATAAACATATGGGCAAAATTTTATAGAGAACAAGGTGAATGGATCAATGAATGAATAAATAAAACAAATGAAATGGAATGAACAAAAAACAAAATTTTTTTAATGCAATTTGATCATTACCTTTTCTTTTACTTAATTCTTTTCTATATAAATCGTCCCAACTATCTCTCCTCTCTTCTTTCCTTTTCTTCGACTCCTCCAACGACTTCTTTTCCTCAATCAATTCTTTCTTTTCTTCCATCAACTCTTTTTTTTCTTCGTTATCCTCATACTCTTTTTTCCTCAATTTCCTTTTCAACTCGTTCAACCTGTCTACATTCTCATCTTCCCACTTCTCCAATCTCTCTTTCGCCTTTTCATATTCTCCAAATGCAATATTTAATTGGTTCTTGATTTCTTCGAATGCTTCCATTTTTTTTAAAAAAAAAAGATATTAATTTTTAAAAATTTTTGTTACCAATTAATTAATTGTTTCTATGCATAATTTCGAAAGGTTTAACAGTATTCCAGGCTGAATAATTTGTAAAAAAATACAAGTCTCATAGAAAGATTCCAGATAATGTTATAGATGAATTAATATAAATACATCCAATGATAAAATAGTGGGCACATGACTTGGAAATTATTTTACGAATTAAACGACAAAAGAAAATTATTTTTATTTTAATTTAACTAATAATAGAAAAATACATAAATAATTTATAAAATATAAGTTAAAGAGTGCTTGCATAGGAGAAAAATACTCGGGCATAAAGCCATTTGTAAGTATTACCTATTCTTTAGACTCTAACAAAAATTCAACTTACGTTATTACTTACTGCTATTTATTATCAATTAGTATTTTATATCATCGTTGTTTTTATCATCTTTTTCATCTTCACTCTCCGCTTCTTTCTTCTTTTCTATGTTGACCCATTCCTGAATTGCTTCTATCGTTTTCTTTCTAGGATTTGTTTTTAGTTGATAAAAAAGGTTTTAAGAGTAGAAACTGCAACTCCTTTCTCTCCAAGTAATTCACGAATTTCAATGACCATTTCATTGAATGAAAAATCAAGATTCGATCCAATCTTTTTATCAAATAATTGCTTAAAATCCCTCCATAGATTTTCGATTTCTTTTGAATAGTTTTTATCACCAGTAAGTTTGTTTAATTTATTTTTTAATTGGCTTTTTATTGGTTCTATTTTATCGAATATTCTATCAATTGTTTGATTTATAGTATAGAGTTGATTTTTGTAAGTTTTATAGTGAAGCAAGAAGCCAAAAAAGAGTCCGATCAATGACCCACAAGAAAATTCACCATTGAATGTAAACAAAATTTTTTTAAATATTATTATAAATGAAAATATTGTATAAATATTTGTAATTACTTGTTTTTTTAAACCAAAATAAAATTGCGTTTAATGGTGATTATTAGAAGGATTTGTTATTTGATTTTTTTTTACCTGAAAATTAAAGTGAATTGGTGATGTTCCAATACAAATCAGGTTTATTTTGTTTCAATGTCAATGAGAGAAAAACAAAGATTTATAAAGCATATTCTTGAATGTAAGTAAAGTTTTGTTCAAACAGCAATGTTTTTTTTTATTGATAAGCAATGATCATTAATTACATTTGCATAAAAGAGAATTTTCTTGTAATCAGTAAAAAAAAAAAAGATCATATTGTAATAATCAGATTTTTTTTTCTTCTAAAGGTTTCTGTTTTTTATTGGGTAATAGCATATTTTCATTCTGATTCCTTTTCTTAGTGTTTATTATTTTTCTTTCTTGATAAACTTCATAGGCAATCCTTTCTTTTTTTAGATAAGATTCAAGTGTTTGAGCATCATTTATTTTGAAAATATAAGGAGCAATTTTTCACCTTGTTCCTTTTTCAAAATACTTTTAATGGTGCTATAATTCTTGAGTTCCATATTAGACCTAATGTAAAATATTAATAGTAATAGGGATAGTTCTATATATAACAAATGTGATATTAATTATGATCACATTACAAATGACTAAATTTTGATCCCTAAAACTCTTGGTTATACCAATGTTCACTTTGTCTGGTTTTGTTGCAGCATGCCCCAATTAAGGTTGCCGGTCCCAAACTGCTTCTCAAAACCCAAACTAGTTTGGGCAATTTGGGCTTCTCAGCATTTTTTTTATAAACATGAACATTAAGAAACTATACCAATCAATTTATTTTAACAAAAACAACTTTAAGGTAATTTCGCCCAATTTCGGCCAATAGTTTGGGCTTATAAAAAAGTAATTTTTGCCCAGTGTCTCGACAATTTCGGCTACTAATAAAGAGAGTTTCGGCCGGAAACCTTAATCTCAGTAGTTGAAGTGGAGAAGATGAGAGGTGTGGTGAGGATTTCAATTATATATACATTCAAACCTCATTTTTACAAAGTGGCTTGACATGAAATAAAAATTTGTTGAAACAAGCTTATTATATATATATAGCACAATTTACCTTTAACGAACTAAAAGAAAATCATTGTCAAATTTGGTCGTATAATTGCAAAAAAAAAATTTTTTCCTAATGCAGTCAGGATTATTACCAAATATGGAATTTCCAAATACTGTAAGGATAGACAATCTAGAAATCTTTTAGAAAA